TCCGCACCAGCTATTCATGGATGGCTACGTGGGGGGAGGGGGAAGGGGGATGAGGTGGAGGGGCGGGAGACGGAGGGGGAAAGTAGGGGAAAGATGGGCAGTTGAATAAAACACTTTTCCCCAACTTGCTGAACGGAAGGGGGAAAAAAAAAAAAAAACCCATTGCAGCAGTTGCAGCTGCAGCAGCAGTGGAGAGAAGGGGGGAGGGGTGAGGTTGGGGGGGTGGAGGGGTTGGGTGGGGGACAGGGAAGAAGTACCTGGTAGGGCGTGCAGCAGCAGCGAGGCAAATCTTTCAAAGAGCAGCTCCAGAGGGAGACAGCAGGCACGGTGGCCGGGTAGCACCGCAGCAACGGCAGCAGCAAGAGAAAGAAGAGTTACCTGGCAATGAGTGCAGCAGCAGCGAGGCATATCTCTCAAACAACAGCTCCAGGGGGAGACAGCAGGCATGGCAGCACCGCAGCAATGCACCCATCCACCACCGCAGCAGCAGAAGCAGGGCAGCAGGTGTGAGAGGAGCGGATGCTTTGGGGGAAGGTGGGGGGTGGGGGAAGAGTGGGCATTACCTGGTAGGGCGTGCAGCAACAGCGAGACATATCATTCAAAGAGCAGCTCCAGGGGCAGGCAGCAGGCACGGCGGCCAGGCAGCACGGCGGCCAGGCAGCACGGCGGCCAGGCAGCACGGTGGCCAGGCACCCATCCATCACCACAGCAGCGGCTGCAACCCCTTCAGGGAGGGACGGTGCTGCTAAGAGTTCAAACAGACACGCACACAGCACCACCACCACTGCTGCGGCTTTTGAGTCTGCTTTTGAGCCAACTCAAAAGAAGATGGGCAAGAAGATAGAACGGGTTCAGACGTGAAGCATTCCAGGGCGTCGTACAAGAGCAGCTTTTGAGTCTGCTTTTGAGACGACTCAAAAGAAGATGGGCAAGAAGATAGAACGGGGTTCAGATGCGAAGCATTCCAGGGCGTCTCACAAGAGCAGCTTTTGAGTCTGCTTTTGAGTCGACTCAAAAAGAAATGGGCAAGAAGATAGAACGGGTTCAGACGTGAAGCATTCCAGGGTGTCTCACAAGAGCGGGGAACATACCTTGGGAAGAGCAGCAACAGAAGCCAGTTCTGTGTCGAGAACCTTCCTGGAAGCATCCAGGTTGCCACTCTCTGCCTCCAACCAGGCGTATACAGCCCACAGTCCCAGGTCCTGCTGCCGCGTCTTCAACAGCCTCTTCACCTCCGCCTCTTCACCCGTCCCTTTGCTGCAGTCACCATATGAGTTGGTGCTGATCCCTGTTGCTGCCTGAACGCATACTGCTTCGGGAGAGAGAACATACCTTGGGAAGAACAGCAACAGAAGCCAGTGCTGTATCGAGAACCTTCCTGGAAGCGTCTAGGTTGCCACTCTCAGCCTCTAGACGTGCATAGGCGGCCCACAGACCCAGGTCCTGCCGCCTCGTCTTTAACAGCCTCTTCACCTCCGCCTTCGTGGCTCTCACCACCTTAGCTGTTACTGACTGCTCGCCTGCTGCTGCTCCTGGTGCTCCTGCTGCTGCTGATGGTGATTGGTTGAAGCAGGAGCTAACCATCGGCCAATCAGGATGGCCCAGCAGCAGGTGCGGCTCCAATACTGCCAGTTGACTATCTGTAGCAGCATCAGCAGCTGCTGTAGCAGAGTGTGTGGTACTAACTTCTCTGCCCTTTGCTCGCTCCAACACGGCTTCAATGGCACCTGCTGTGCCCCCTCTCCTCTTCCCTGCTGCTGCTCCACCATCCACGGCTGTAGCGGCTGTAGCAGTGCCGGCTGTAGCAGTGCCATCGCAAGAGGCAAGAGGCAATAGGGGTGGCATTTTGCGTGCACCAGGCACTATAGCAGCAGCTCTAGCAGCGGCTGTAGCAGCTACAGCTGCAGCTGACACCACTAGGGCCTCCTGCAGGTGCTTATCATCCGGAATCCACTGACATGCAAGTTCCAGGAAGTTGCGCAGAAATCGCACCCTCTCCATTCCCCCGTCCTCTTCCTCCTCCCCTTCCCCGCCCCCATCCCCATCTCCTCCCCTTCCCCTCCTCTCTCCTTCATCCCCCCATGCATCGAACCACATAGGACCTCCAGCAAGCGTGTCCAACACAGCAGCACCACGGGCCAAGTTCCCTTGCTCCTCCTCCTCCTCCCCTACCTCTTCTTCTACTGCCACTTCTGCTCTCCCTGCCGCTGCCACTTCCGTTTCTCCTGCTCCTCCCAAAGAAGCAGCAGTTAGAGCAGTAGCACCGACGCCCCCACCACCACTGGCACCACCCTTTCGGGAATGATTGGAGGTTGGATTGTGGAAGGGGGTTGTTATGGAGCGTGGAACGCTGACCAGATATTCTGAAGCTTCTATGAAACTGCTATCGTTGCTGCTGCGCCTGCTTTACGGGAGCACAAGAGGCAGAAAATGCTCTTCATAAGCACATTCCCTTACTCCTTAAAAGAAAATAGAATGAACTATTGTGAAACGTGCGGTGCTGATGTTGTGACACAAGAGCTTGGAAAAGGACTACCATCCATATTTCCTCACTATTCCATATTTTATGCTCGAACTCCTGACTACTTCATCCATACCATAACAACTCATAATAATAAATGAAAGTAAAAATACTCAGTCACTTGCATTTCATTCTCACTCCTACAGACCGCGCACAACTTTTCTCAATCAAACTCACTTCACGCCACAAGAGTGATTATCCCTGATAGAAAGGGAAGCTACACTGATCCACCACCCACCATTACAGCCTCTCACCTGGCTGGCAGGTATGTATCAAAGAAGGCAGCAGCACCGAGCGGTAGGTGAGTGGAGAGAGAAACAACAGGTAGCAGCATCTAATCACTACCACCCCACCACCCATCACCACCCACCACACCACTACAGCCACTCACCAAGCAGGCAGGGGCGCATCAAAGAAGGTAGCAGCAGCTAGCAGCAGGTGTCGCTTCGCTGCTTCAGAGTGGAGAGAGAAGAGGCGGCTCCGCACATCCTCATACTCCACCACCCTCTCTAGCTCCTCCTCCTCTTCCTCATTTTCCTCTTCACTTCTTTTCCCCTTCCCTGTTGCATGGGAAAGGCAATGTGCGGAGATTCACTCTACAACGGTAGTGAGCTAGACTACGGGGGTTGGCACGAACTACTAGGAGTGATCGTAGCTTTGCTTAGTTACTTAATGCTTGCACATTCACATGAGAAATCGGCAAGAGTTTCCACTAGCAAAGTTGGAATTACAGAATGATAGAACAAGCAATGACAGAAATGACTACATCAGGCACCTAGCAACTCTGCAGCTAGCTTGGTCGACCGCCAGCACTGCATGGTCGACCGTCTGCCAGCGATGCGTAGAGGAGCCGCGCCAGCACTGCAAAAAGGCGACCTGCCAACACAGCAGGTCGACGGCGTGCCAACGCTGCAGCAGTGCGGCTGTCCAGCGTTGCACCCGTAGATGGCAGCAGTGCGCACGCTCGCAGGTGCACGCAGACGATTGGCCCGACTTGCACCGTTGTGCATCCGTCGGCTGTTGTCTGCGCCTGACGAGCCACATCGACTTTGGGATACCAGCCCAAAGTCGCCTTCGTCACTGCGACCTCGACGACGTTCGCGTGCCTCCGCAGAACTCGCCGAGCAGGTTACCTGGTCGACCTGGTCGACCACCAAGTGCTTTGGTCGACCACCAGTGCCGCTGGTCTACCACCAGGTGCCTCTGGTCAACCACAGCTCCCGTCGAGCTACCCCCTGGTCGACGGACCCCCTCCATCGACCAGAACTGTCAGCTGTTGTCGCCGAGCTCCCCTCGTCGACCGCTGCTCACTTGTCAGGTCGACGGACTGCTCCGTCGACCTCCCGGTCGAACTGCTCCTTCTGGTCGATGGCCCACACGTCGCCCAGCCCGGTGTGATGCAGCTGTCGAGCTCCCTGGTCGACGGCTCCAGCCCCGTGACAGTCCTGTGCAGGTCGACAGCCACCTCCTCGTCCTACCCTGCAGCAGAAGGCCGTTGAGCACTCCTGGTCGACGGCGACACTACAGTGAACCCTTGCAGCTCGACGAAGCCCGTCGAGCAGCTCCTTCACTGCGAACGGTCGGCTGCTTCTCCCGTACATCCGACCAAGTCGTCGGTGTTGCCCAAGCGAGGGCGGGGCCAACACTCCACTCCCGTTAACACAATGAACACATGAGAAGGAAGGTGAGTGGTGGACGAGAGGCGGCTCCTCACATCCTCATACTCCACCACCCTCTCTAGCTCCTCCTCCTCTTCTTCCTCCTCCTCTTCCGTTTTCCCCTTCCCTGCTGTAACATTTGAGGAAAACGGAGGGGGAATGGAATGGATGGAAGAATGAGAAGAGTCGACTCCGTACATCCTCATACTCCACCACCCAATCCAGCTCCTCCTCTTCCTCTTCCTCTTCTTCATCCTCCTCTGTTGCTTGCTCTTCGTGCCTCTTCCCTTTCCCTGCTGGTGGTTTGTGACAAAAAGGAAGTGGAACAGCATGGTTGGAAGAAGTTGAGAAGAGTCGACTCCTCACATCTTCATACTCCACCACCCTCCCTAGTTACACGTCCTCTTCCTCTCCTCCCCCCTCTTCTTCATCTGCCTCGTTTCTCCTTTTTGCCCTTCCCTGTTGCTGCACGAGAAGGAATGGGCAGGAACAGTCAGTGAATGCATGGGAAGGCGAGGGATGGATGAGACAAGAGTTGACTCTTCACATCCTCATACTCCACCACTCACTCTAGCTCCTCCTCTTCATCGTCCTCTTCCTCTTCTGCTTGCTCTTCTTGCTCTATGCCTGTCCCTATTGCTGGCGACGAATATTAGTGCATGGGAACGGGAGGCATGGGTCAAAGCCTCACATTTTTGTTCCACCTGAAATAGTTGCTTTTGAACTACGACTGAGTGTACTTTTGAGGCGCCTCAAAAGTCTGCACAATGACTCAATGTCTCACCTCGCATTGGCTGCCATTGCCTGCTCTCCCTCCACCTCTACTCTGCCGCCCACCAGTGCCACACGCCCGGATCCTTCATCCAATCCTCGCCTGCCATGTCAGCAGCACCGCAGCCGGCACCACCACCATCACCTGCCCCGTCCTTTCCCACTTTAAGTCTTTCCATCAGCTCTGCCTTGAGAAAACCCTCATCCTCCTCCTCCTCCTCCTCCTCCTCCTCCTCCTCCTCCTCCTCCTCCTCCTCCTCCTCCTCCTCCTCTTCCTCCTCCTCCTCTTCCTCCTCCTCCTCCTCCTCCTCCTCCTCCTCCTCCTCCTCATCCTCCTCCTCCTCCTCCTCCTCCTCCTCCTCCTCCTCTTCCTCTTCCTCCTCCTCCTCCTCCTCCTCCTCGTTCGTCGTTCGTCTCTTCCTCGTTCTCCACTTCCTCCTCTTCCCCTGCTTTTGATTCATTGTCTGGTTGTTCCTCTCCCTCCTCTCCCTTCCCCTCCTCCTCTTCCACCTTCACCTCCTCTTTTCCACTCTCTCCCTTCCTCACAATCTCATGCCACCCAGTCCATCCCCCTTTCTCCTCCTCTTCTTCCTCTCCTTCCTCCTCCTCATCCCCCGAGTTCCCCTCACCATTCCCACGGCTCCCCCCTCCCCCTCCCTCTCCCCCCATCCCATACCCCTCCTCTCTTGCCAACCACGCAGACCACCCTATCCCCCCCTCCTCCCCCACTCTCTCCCCTCCCCCCTCCCAAAACGCCTGGAACAGCCTCAACTTGCTACCCTCAGAAAAGGACAAGGGCAGGGGCGGCGGCCGGACGGCGTACTCCATCTCAGCCTGCAGCAGCGCGACTGCCAGCTCAGCGTGTCCTGATTGGTGCTCAAAGCAGGATGAATCAAGCAGCATGTCCACTGCTGCAATTTCCGACGCTGCCAGCTGGCGCATTTTGATTGGGTCGTTAGGCCTCTGCTATAGCTGCATGAATGGGGAAGAATGAGGAAGAATGGGGAAGTATAGGGAAGAATGGGGAAGAACGGAAAGGAATCGGGAAAAATTGGAAGAATACGAAGAGTGGGAAGGAATAGTGTGAGTGAGAGGATAGTGGGGAGGACAGGGTGCTTAAGAGAGAGGAACAGGGAGGTCAGGGGAGGGGTGGGGTGTGCAGAGAATAGGAGGGGGTTGAGACAAGCTTGCATTTGTACCCATTATGCTGTGTCCCTTGTGCTGTTATAACACCCCATGAGCTTACCTCGCGCCACACTTGGTTCCTTCGTCCCACCAGGGCCGTATTGCTGCAATGAAACTCTCTCAAATCCTCCCCTTTGTGAACCCTGGGAGAGAGAGCGCTTCCGGAGGGAGCCAGGGAGTTACTCACCAGTGAACGCCTCAATCCCTCGGGAAAACTGCTTCAACACGTCCTGGCTGTCTAAGTACAGGCGCACTAGTATGTAGAACAGGCAGAGAAGTTCCAAAACCGTGCACCTGAACCCCAAGGCTGGACTCGCACAACGGCTCCTGTCTCTTTCTGGGTATGGCCCGGGAGACTGGCTGCTAGCAGTCCCCTTTGTCCCATCCCTTCGCCTCAGCCCCCCACTTCTCAATCCACCATGACCCAAGACCACGGAACCTCAAGACAGAGGTGAGCCAAGACAGAGCTTTCGATGTTCTGTGTCACGGTGGACAGAGGTGAGCTAAGACAAAGATTCTATAGTCCTGGGTTTCGGTGGACAGAGGTGAGCCTAAACAGAGGTTCCGTAGTTCTGGGTCATGGTGGATTGAGAAGTGGGCGGGCTGAGGTGAAGGGATGGGTCGAAGGGGACCACTAGCAGCCATTCTCCTCGGCCATACCCAGACAGAGACAGGAGTCGCTGTGTGTGTCCTACCTTGGACTTCTCTACCTGTTCTGCATACCAGTGCGCCTGTACTTGCATAGCCACGATGGACAAGGGTGAACCAAGACAGAGGTTTCGTAGTTCCGGGTCAAGGTCTCTGCCACCCACGGTACCCCACTCACTATCCCCTGTGTGCTGTGACAGTGCCCTTGCGCAAATCCCCTCCCAATGACCCCCTTCTTATGCGTCCCATGCACTCACCTCGCACCAGACTTGGTTCCTCCATCCCACCAAGGCACGTATCACTGCAATAAAGCTCTCTCGAATCTTCCCCACCGTGAATGATGCAAACTGCCCCCCCTGCAACCAGATGTAGCCCCAATCACTGCCCACCGAGTGGTGTGATGGAGCACATTTGCTAGTGCCTCTTCCACTAACCCCCTAAGACTGACCCGTGCCCTATCCACTGTGTCCCATGCACTCACCTCGCGCCACACTTGGTTCCGCCGTCCCACCAGGGCACGCATCGCTGCAATGAAGCTCTGCCTGATCTTCCCCACAGTGAACGATGCAAACTGCCCCCTCTGCCACCTGATGTATCCCCGCCACAAGCTCGCGCTACCAGGGCTGCGACCAATGGCGCTGCGCCACTTGGCGTCCAGTGTGGCGGCGTCATCTCTGGGTGAAAGGGGAGTGTGGGGTAGGAAAGGGGATGAAGGGGAGGGGAGGGGGCAGGAGGGGAGGGGAGAGGAGGGAATGGCAGCCGAGGGGAGAGGAAGGATGTGTGCTGCTGCTAGTGCCGCTGCATTGAAGAGGATTGGAAGATTTCACGGTAAATGATGCAAACTGCCATCTCTGTCATCGGATGTAGCCCCTCCAGAGATTTGCGCTGCCAGGGCTGTGGCAAATCGCGCTACGCCACTTGGCATCTAGTGTGGCGGCGTCATCTCTGGGAAAAGGGGTTGAGGAGGGGGGAGGGTGTGAAGAGAGGTCAACGCTAGTACCTCACTCTCCCTCCCATGCAACGGTGCTCGCTCCAACACTGCCACCTTCTTCCCTGTCACCAACTATCAAGGACGCCAGCACGCATTACCAGGTTACCACATGCTGCAATGCTGCAGGAGCAGGGCAGTGTTGCGGGGGCATTACATTCATCGGCCACTGCATGAGTGAAGATACGTCAGCACAACTGCTTCACTCTCCCCCACGTGCTGCAGCGCTCGCTCCAACACTGCTACCTTTTTCTCCGTCACCTGCTGAATCACCCATGCTACCTGATGGGGGGATGAAACTCACCGGTCACTGCACGTGTGCAGGTAGATTGAAACCACCGCCTCGCTCTCCCCCACGTGCTGCAGCGCTCGCTCCAACACTGCTACCTTTTTCAGACACGTCATGCAACCATGCTACCTGAAAGGGCATCACCCACCGGCCACTGCACGTGTGAAAATACGTCAACACCACCGCCTCACTCTCCCCCACGTGCTGCAGTGCTCACTCCAACACTGCCACCTTTTTCTCCACCACCTGCCGCAGCACCGCCGCCCGGTGCCGCCCAACCCCACCGACCCGTCGCCGCCTCGTCCTGGAAAGAGACAAACCACAGCCACAGCTGCTCGTCCAGCGGGCGGCGCCTTGTCTCCTCATTGAACTCCCTCGTCCGGCGAAACACATACTCAACCCACGTCTCCCCCTCTTCCTCCTCCCCCTCCTCCTTCCCTCCCACACCCTCCACCCCCACCTCACCAACCCCTCCCCCTGTTAAACTGTATTATGCTTGTAGGCTGTAGTGGGGTAGCCAATATGGGGTACAACCCCAACTAGGGTTTGATATTTGTACCCAAACTTCTGTTAGTTGATTCATTCTTGCCTAGTGATTCTGAGATGGTATTCAGAGCAGGAGGTCCCTAGGACCTACCGACCGTTTTTTTTTAAGGGCCCACCACCGCTCGCATGCGGTTACCACGCTACCCCGTGCCCTAGCCTCGTAGCGCCCTCGTGCGCCCACGTTAGCGCCCTCGCGCGCCCCTCGTTAGCGCCCTCGCGCGCACCCTCGTTAGCGCCCTCGCGCGCCCCTTCGTTAGCGCCCTCGCGCGCCCCTTGCTAGCGCCCTCGCGCGCCCCTCGCCGAGCCGCCCGCTCGCAGCCCGCCCGCCCGCTCGCTGCCCGCTTCGCGGCCCGCTCACTACGCAGCCCGCCCGCCCGCTCGCTGCCCGCTTCGCGGCCCGCCCGCTTCGCAGCCCGCTCGCTCGCTGCCCGCTTCGCGGCCCGCCCGCTTCGCAGCCCGCTCGCTCGCTGCCCGCTTCGCGGCCCGCCCGCTTCGCAGCCCGCCCGCCCGCTCGCTGCCCGCTTCGCGGCCCGCTCGCTACGCAGCCCGCCCGCCCGCTGCCCGCTTCGCGGCCCGCCCACTTCGCAGCCCGCCCGCCCGCTCGCTGCCCGCTTCGCGGCCCGCCCACTTCGCAGCCCGCCCGCCCGCTAGCTGCCCACTTCGCGGCCCGCCCGCATCGCAGCCCGCTCGCCCCGCTGCCCGCTTCGCAGCCCGCCCGCCCGCCCGCTGCCCGCTTCGCGGCCCGCCCACTTCGCAGCCCGCCCGCCGTGCTGCCCGCTTGCAGCGCCGCCTGCCCGCCGCGCTGCCCGCTTCCCGGCCCGTCCGCCGCGCTGCCCGCTCGCAGCGTCGCCCTTTCCGTCGCGCTGACCGCTTGCAGCGCCGCCTGCCCGTAGCGCCAGCCTCGCCCGCTGCTCTCTATCCGTGCACAGTCGCCTTCCCCTGCTGCGGCAGCTTGCGTTACTCTGTCACACTGTCGCTATGGCTTCCATCCGCGTGCTGTCGTTCGATGCTGAGGGCCGCCCTGTGCGGTTCACCGCTTGGCTAGATGACCTGCAGCTGTTCCTCCTGAGCGATAGCAAGGAGCATGTGTCGCTCTATGATTACGCGTCTGGTGCTGCGCCTGCCCCTCCTGCCACAGCTGAGCTTAGTGTTCGTTCCCACTGGCAGACTCGTGACGCAGCTGCTCGCCTAGCCATTCGCAGTCACCTGCCGTTAGCTGAGCTAGAGCATTTTGGCGACTGCAAATCCGCTAAGGCCCTGTACGACGCTGTCGTCGCTCGCTACTCCTCGCCTGCCACAGCCGAGCTTAGCCGCCTCATGCTGCCGTACCTGTTCCCCGATCTGTCCACCTTTACTACAGTCGCCGATCTTATCACCCACCTTCGCACTAGTGATGCTCGCCTGCGTGCCGCCCTTCCCACCGAGTTCTGCGCTAAGAACCCCCCTCCACTGTACTGGACACTCCACTTCATAGTCACCCGTCTCCCTGACACCCTCCGCTCAGTTCGAGACCACTTCCTTGCTCGCTGTCCCACTGAGCTCACAGTCGCCCTCCTAGAGGAGCACCTGCTCGCGGCCGAAAAGAGCATTGTAGCTGTCGGTGCTGCTCGTGGCGCTCCTCGCACCCCCATCTTTGAGGGGTGTTCTCCCTCTCCCCTCGCTCCCTCCTACGCTGCTGCTGCTGCTGTTGACTTCCTTGGTGCTGAGTCTGTTGGCGCTGCTTCTACTCCTGGTGGGAGGCGCCGCACCGGCAAGGGCAAAGGGGGCAAGGGTGGTGGTGGTGGCGCTGGGGGGGGAGGAGGTGGGGGAGGTGGGGGGGGAGGCGGTGCTGGAGGGAGCGGTGGCGGGAGCGCTGGTGGGAGTGGGGTCGGTGGTGGAGACGGGGGCGGCGGAGGAAGCAGTGGCAGTAGTGGCGGCGGCGGCGGTGGCGGCGGTGGCGGTGGTGGCGGTGGTGGCGGTGCCGGTCGGAGCGGTGGTAGTGGTGGCGGCGGAGGTCGGAGTGGAGGCACTGGCTCGGGCCAGAGCTCCCAGCAGCAGCAGCGTCCCCAGACGACCCAGCAACTTCGTGAGTGGCTTGCTCAGCGTGGGACGTCGGGGGCCAGTGCCCGCTGTTCTTATGTCATTCGCACAGGTGACCGCAAGGGACAGACGTGTGGGAGGTTCCACACCCCGTACCGCTGCTTCTCCCGCCTTGACGACGCTTGGCGTGAGGAGATGGGTGCGGATGTTGAGCGCCCCCGCTGGGCTGAGCTCATGAGGGCTGGTGTTGATGTCTTTGCTCTTGAC